TTCGAGATCCTTTCTTTTTCTTTTCTAAAACTCTGTAAATACCTTATCCTGATGCCTTTTCCCTTTCCTCAGCACCAGGCTGCAGCTCTATCTTCGGTGGCCCCCGCGGACGGCGAAACTCTATCGGTTCACGCTCACTTTTTGGGTGGTGGAGGAATACGCTGAGTTAAGACATCTCAATATGAGTGATAAGCAGTATTCACTTTATTGCCCGAGACAGCGCACATTTATACAGTTACAGTTTGAGCATGCCAACGTGTCAGTCGGTGATTGGTTGCTAACGGTATTTGATTGTTTATTAGAAAGATAACTTCAGTCTGGCCAGCCCAGATTACGGTCGATAAGCAAGCAGCTTCTTCATTCTTCCTGCCTTATCCCCTCAAAGTTGTTTACGAAACTAGCCAAGGACAGAGTGTCCTTGCCTTACCAGCACGTCCTCAGCACTTCTCTCCTGAGGCCCAATCTCCCAGAAGCCCCTGCTTGCTCAGTTGCAGGCCTGAACCAAAGTCAGTGGATCCATACTCATGTCCACGCTCTCGTAGCCAATTCCCAACATAATACTGCATTGAGCATAGAAAGTCTGAAGGGACTGAAGAGAGCCTCTCTCCATCTGTTATCTGTTTCCAAGTTTAGACCTTCTTCTCTTGCAAGAATGGTAGCCCTATTGCTTGTGAAAATGCCAGCCTCAAAATAGTGCTTTAAAAAGGAGGGACGATAAGAGTGCAACAGCAGCAAGAACGGTTTTTCAACAGTTTTCAAGTCCAGGTTCTGTAGCAGATCATCTATCAAACAACATAGAATCATAGAGTCACAGAATGGCTGAGGCTGGAAGGGACCTCTAGAGACCATCTCGTCCAACCCCCCTGTTCCAGCAGGGTCACCTAGAGCACGTGGCACAGGGTGGCATCCAGGCGGGTTTGGAAGATCTCCAGAGACGGAGACTGCACAACCTCTCTGGGCAGCCTGTTCCAGTGCTCTGTCACCCTCACTGTTAAGAAACATCACGCAAACCCTTTATTTCATGAAAGTTAAGTTTTATAAAATGTGACTATTCTATTTTATTAGGAAACCTTGTATCTTTCCCAGAATATTTTCTTGCCATTGGAACTGTGTAGCAGTAAGCCATTTGAAATGACAGAAAATCAGAAAGGATATAGTGTAATATAAGAGAAGATTCCTGAAATTTTCATTCAATCATTCATTCAGTCCATTTGACTCTGGTAGATGTCTCCTGGTTAAGTGGTAGATGTTACAGACATTTCCTTTCGTCTCCCAAGCCGAAAGCTGGGGAAAGTACCTTTTATCTCAATTCTATCCAGACTTGCTTTAAACCTTAGTCTTTACTAGCAACCTCTTGGAGCCTCCAATCACTTAAACAGAGATACCCAACACTATTAGTTCTTGTTAAACCTCTTGGGTTTGCGATGACTGGGTAGCCATAGTATGACCTAACTAAAGTATAAATGGGATGGTTTTTCATTCTCGTTGCAAAGAGATCTTGTATGCTGCTCCTGCCTTTTAAAAATATTAAATTTTAGAATTTTAGAAATTTTAAATATGGATGTGACTGGCTTTCTGATAAACTTTTGCCATGATCTACCCAAGAGTTAAGTGACATAACTGATAGTAGTGATAAGTACTTAATGCCATAAAAGTCTGTTTTGACTTAAGTCTATTGTGTCATTTTTGCTGCATTGCAAAGTTCAGTGGACGCTTTCAGTGTTAAATTCGTTTTTCAAATGTATTTTGGGGACTTCATGTAATCTTTGGAAATACATTTGCAGGCATGAAGTGGAAGTCAGCCAAACTCAGTTGTGTGGTGCAGAGACACAATGACCTCTGTGTCTGTGGGGAATGGAAATCATGGTCATGTCTAACATGGGACCGAAAGACATGAGTGGACAATGTGGCGGGACTCATTCAGACTGCAAATTTTCTGCCTGCTTCTGGCAATACTGGCTATCGTGGTGCTGGTCCATAACTTTCTTCAGTTAGAGGTAAGTGAAGCCTCTTTCTTCTGCAAGCGGGCTTGAGCGATGTTATTTCTGTCTGAGCATAAGGAGAGGACTGTGGTTAACAGTGTTTATCTACAGCTTGGAATCACAGAAAAATTCAGGCTGGAAGGGGTGTCTGGTGGCCTCTAGTCCAAACCCTCCACAAAGAGCAAGCTTCAAAGTTGGCTTGGGTTGCTCAGGGTCTTGCACAGTTGAGGTTTGACAGTTTCTGAGGATGGGAGGAGTTTCCACAATCTGTATGAGCAACTGGCTGCACTGTTCTCTTAGGAAACAATATTTTTCTTCTGTGCTGCTGGCAATTCCCTTGGTGAGACTTGTGGCCATTGCCTCTTGTCCTTTTGCTGCACCCTTCTGGGAGAAGTCTTGTTCCAATTTCTCTATCACAACAGACTGCAATTAGATTCCCTCTCGGCCTTCTCCAGCCTAGGGAGTTTGGTTGCCTTGGTCTCCTGTTATGTGACATTGTGGACTGATGCATCGTTTTCCCTTTTTCCCTCCACTGTGTCCGACTAGCACACTTACGCGTTTTTGCTTATCACTTTAATGTAGAGGTGTTTTCAAACAGTATTAGTCAATATACCCTTAACTGACTTTGATGGGTTTTGTTTGTTTGTTTTTTGATTTAATTTACCAGGCCAAACCAAAATAATCTTGTGTGCATGACCTTGCTGTACAGGTATGCCTTGAATTTGACTGATTTAATAGAACAGCCCAGCTTTCTTTTACTTTCTGAAAAATATCAGGTTGTTGCTAAGGAATAATGTCATGATTTTAGTGTAAGGGAGTTTGCATGTGTCTTTGGAGCCGCAGAGCTACTTCAGGTGGTTGTGAGCATCCTGTGATTTAGAAGCACTTTGAAATGATAGTTTTTAGGGAGAGGGAAAGTCTTTTGCAAAGATAAAGGAAGAATGATGTATGTAAATCAAACAGCTAAAAAAAACAAACAACAACAAAACAAACAAGGTTACTGACCTGTATTCCATTCTGTTCAGCCTACTTTGCTCAGCAAACATCCATTAAACTACTTTGTGATCACATTTCCTTTCTGCTTTGCTGCTGAATACAGCAAATAAATATTAGGAGTCACACTCGAAATCAAGACATCTTGAATGGGACATACCTGGAAATAGTGAAGTAGGGGAGTGTTAGCCAGTACAGAACTTGTATTAAAAACTAAAGGAACATTTATCGTATGCTGCACTATAAGAAGTTTGACCTTGAAGAGACTTCAGAAAGACTAGCTAGCCTGTGAAGCAACATCATGTAAGTCTTTGAGAAAAGAAAAAACCCAAAGGAAATTTAGAGAAGGCTTAAATAGTGATAGGACTGTTGTCTTAAATAGCTGTGTCTCCTGTTTGTTTGGAAAGCACGTTTTACTGACCTTTGAAGTACCAACTGTTGAAGAACCAGCAAAGCCCTGAGAGATCTTGTCTCGAGAGAGAACTCTTAACCTAAGAATTATACAAATGCACAGTTTCTCCCTCCTGTTCCCATAGGAAAATAGTTATTTTCTTTGCTGATTCATGCATAATCATCAAGTCTGTTGTATTCAAATACACAGTTAATTGTTTTAAAAATTTTCTATGCAGTGCCCATCTGATAAACAAGTATTATCTGTGCTATGTATATGCATGTGCTAGAAAGAGGTCCTAAAGATCATGTTGAAAGCTTTGTATGCAAAAATAGACACAGGGCTTAATTTGGGAACACATGGTGGCAGGATTTGGGGTTGAAACCTACCTGTGTTTCGTTCTCAGCGTGAAGTTTACTGGATTAATGGAAATAATGGACAGTCACAGATCTGCATTTTTCCCTGCTGTGATGGAAAATGGAAACACTTGCGAATTACCTCAGTAGACTTCAAAGAAAACTGTGAATACCTATCAATTTACACTTCGTAGTTAAATGTAACAAGTTACAATTTACGTTTTATAGTTAGCATGGATATCAAAGTAAGAGGATAATCATAACATTGAGGTGTCGGATGGATATACAGAATCCTCTTAAGCTGATCAAAACTGACTTCTTGCGTAACAAGCTTGAAAAGCCTCTAATTTATGAATGCTTTGTTAGATACATCTTTTTCCCTAGAAATAATTTTCAATCTCTGTTGCTCAAATGACTTTAATACACTGGCAAATTCAAATAAAATGTAGCAGGAAGGGGAAAACTACTTGATATGTACATGTACACTATGTGACAATAAATATGGACTAAGTAAAGCTTAAAAGAATAAATGGAGATTTACTGGGAATTTTTAATGGGAATTTAATGGGAATTTTAGTACTTTACTGAACAGTGTATTACGGAGAAAGCAAAAAACTCCAAATACTGTGTTTTTAGGAGTTCCTTAAATCTGATGGATGATCTCTGATATCCTATGAATGATATGTTTTATAACATAATCTGTGCTTGAAAAGAGATGGTGTTGCTTGCTTCTATATGAAATGTGAGTATAGATAACTTCTGTTACATAACAGAATGAGAGCTCTTTATCTCATGATTTTGTGCATACTTGAGGTCTAAGGTTGGATAGGCTGATTAGATATCTCATAGGTAACACCAGAGTCTTAGCAACTATGCAAAGTTATGTTTTTTCCTAATGCAAACCCACAGTATTTTGTGCTCATGAAGAGGATGCATCTGCTTCTGTGTAAAAGTGTTTTTAAATACTGTTCTCTGAAGTTATAGCAAAAGTATCATTCTCTTAGCTTAGTGTAGTATTTAACTTCTTACATCTTTGATGCTTCCGGGAGATGCTGCTTGCCTGATTTTCATTTAGCTCTAGAAGTGGATTTATGCAGATGATTTTTTCACCTCCTTTTTTGTTTATTTATTTTTTAAAATCCCTTTCTCTTAATCTGTACTTGACAAGGAAGTCCATGCTCCAGATATTGTTCCAGGAAGCAGTATGGTGCTAGCAGGCTCTTCTAGAAGGATGGATGGAGGCTGCATCAGATTCATCTGCAGTCTAATGTGTCAAAGGAACTCTGTTGGGGAGATATTTGACCTTATCATGCTTTAAGAATAAACCATTATCAGAGTAAGGAAGTTAAAGGTTAATCACCGTCTACTGTTTAATGGTAGGACCTTGTTGCTCTTTTCACATTACTGATATTTACAAAATACATTGGTGTCAAAAATGTTACCACAGAAAACACTGGGCCTGTTTTATCTAAAAACCTCTATGCCACAGCAGGACAAAATGGCTTTTGGGTAACCACCAATTACTCACCTATTTTCCTAAAAAAAACCCAAGGTAATGATTCTGTATGTTCTAGTACAGTTGCTGCATTTGGTCAGCTTCCAATCTGTGTAAAGCAAAACACAGTTCTTAAGATCATTTCTTGTTACTTATAGTGCTTTGTATAATGGCTTAGTTTCAAGTATTTCTTTTGTTTTTTCCCCAGCACCTAGATGATGCCACTGTTTCAGGGTCCAGCTGGATAACAGCAAACAATGACAGGCAAACTCTGTCACGGGCCACTGGAATTGCCAGGAAGCTTTACTGCGGTTATGAGCGGCAGCGTTTGTCCAAGAGAGAGCAAGCAGAAGAGGAGTCCTTGCTTGCGGCTCTGCTTTGGCCAAAACCTCCTGATGACGAAATCCCTTTTGTACAAAGCACAGATCCTGCACACAGTGACTTTGTGATTGTGAAACCTGGTGCACTCTTCAAGGTGGGTGATCAGTTAGAGGTGCTCGTCCGGATGAAGGACTTCCGAGGAAAACCCAAGCAATATGGTGGAGACTACCTACAGGCTCGGATTCACTCTCCTCTGCTGAAAGCTGGAGCAGTGGGGAGGGTTGTAGATTACGATAATGGCTTTTACAAGGTCTTTTTTACTTTACTTTGGCCAGGGGAGGTCAAAATATCTGTCTCGCTTGTCCACCCGAGTGAAGCAATCCAAGTGCTCCTGCGTTTGCGAGAAGAAAGGCCAGACAGAGTCTATTTTAAAAGCTCCTTCAAGTCTGGGAGGTTTTCGGAAACCACCGAGTGCAATGTGTGTTTGCCTGGAGATCTCCCAGTCTGTAACTTCACAGATCTCTACACGGGTGAGCCCTGGTTCTGCTACAAGCCGCGGAAACTCTCCTGTGCCAGTCGAATCAGTCATGCCAAGGGTGGATATCAGAAAGGTCTTCTGACACAAGAGGAAAGCCTCTTTTTCCAAAGGTATGTCTGTTATTCAATTTATATGCACTCAGTCAAGTAACCTATCCTTTTTAAAAGAAACAAACAAGGTTATTGGTGAAATGGGATAAATTATTAGCCATAGAGGAGGTGTAATCTACTTCTATCTGGTTGTTTGATGTGAGTTGCCAACTATTCCCTTCCCCTCCATACAGCTGTGCAAGAACACACTAGTTCCAAATTAAAGAAAGTGCAGTGTAGTTTTGTCTCTAGGCTTTGCGTTCGGCCCCGGATGCACCTGCTAACTTTCATAAGAGCGTGCTGTCTAAACGTGGTGGTGGTTTCAGGGCTGTTCCTTTTTTGTTGTTGTTTGTTTCTGTATCTGTGCTTATAACAGCAACAACTATACTTGGAGGTGTGGTTTTTTTGTTTGTTTGTTTTGGTTTGGTTTGGTTTTGGTTTTTTAAAACTTTTGGTGTTTTTTTGCAGAACTACCTTTTTAAAATCAGTTCTTAAGCTTGTTTTTCCATAAAGTGTTCATGACTTTTCCTCATTTAAGTATTAAACCTCTGTATGTTACAGCCTCACAGACCTGACATGTATCCAACACAAAATCATTAGGCTTCACTGATGTTCTCAAGCAATTGTAAAGCCACTTAGTGCTAGGGGGCTGAACTTGTTTCTGCATGCAGTAAATTGCTCGCTACTGGGTGGCCTTCCTGCTGGGGATCTCAGAGATTGGCTTGTGCTCCAGGTGCCTGCAGAGGCAGCTCACAGCAGCGGTAGGGCAACCCAGAGCTAGAACTGCAGCTCGTGGTGGTGCTGTGCTGCAGAGCAAGCCTTGGCGTTATGGAGGCTGAAACCTGTGACTGCCTCAAAAAATCGTATTTCCCCTCCAGAGACAGGCAGGGCTGGGAACTGCCGCTGCAGCGCTCCCTTTTCAAGTGGTTTGCCCCGTGGCAGCGGCACGCGTACCGCAAGCTGGGAATCTCCCAGCTTTGTGGTAAGTCCCCAGAGCATGTAGCGGGCTTCTGATGGCTTGATGGACACCTTACCTTTATCTAGGTTTGCCTTACAAAAATGTGTGTGTAGCTTGTTACAGGAAGTAGGGTAAGTTTAAAAAAAATAAAACTTACAGTGATTCCTGTGTGCTTGTTTGAAGTCAGTTAAGAAAAAATGAGGTTAATGCTACTTTGAAATTTTACAGCCATACTATTATTATTATTATTTCCATTTTTTTTCAAGTGACGTGAATATCAAAATGCCCATATTCCCCAGTGGACCTGATGCAGTGACTGTGAAGCCCAAGGCATTTACAGGTAAAGTAAACTTTTTAAGTTTCTTGTTTGTAATTCATATTTAGAGCTATTAAGAAGGCCAGTAGGCATGAGTTGATAATTAGTTTGCTTGTTTTCATATAGAATCCAAGTAAATGTTTAAATTCTTATTGATAAAATGGAGTCTTTTCAGTGTTACTGTAATGCAAACAAGCTTGAGATTATTAGCAGAGTGTGTCTAAAATTATGTAGCTGAACAGGCTTTTTGGCAAATAAATAAAAATCCCGAGTTTGTTATTTTCTTGCCAGAGGAGGATTTTTTTTCCCTAGCATTTGCTCAGAGATCTAAAACATATTATAATACTTTCAAAACCAGCTTTGATGTTTTGTTTCATCATTTCCTCTTGCTAAGAATTTTGCAGAATAGTATTATTATTTCATAACTTGTTACCTATGGCTGTGAACCAGAACTTAATAGTTTCATACCCAAAAAAAAACTTGCAAAAAATGTGATACACAGAGAATTCCTACCTAACTGAGAGCTTTTCAGTGTTTTCATATAAGGTGGAGGAAATGTTAAAGGTGTAGTTCTTGACTTGAGCAGTAAAGTCATAATAATAAATAATAATAATAAAAAAGCCTGCAGCATCTCATACTTTTAATTCTGCTGTCATAGACACTGAAAAGTAGAGTGCCGTTACTAGGTCAGCAACATTTGCCCCTCTTCTTTCTCCAGACCCTTTAGATTAGATTTGTTGTTGTTGTACAATTGCTTAGTTTTTCTTTATTTCCTCTTGGAAACTAATGCAAATTTGAGATTTAATTTCAGATGTAACAGAAGGGTATTACCCCTCTGTTTTGGTGGCAAGGGTGATGCCTGCCTGCATATCCTGAGGGTCGATGTTGGATTAAAAGTGTTGATAAGCGACACACAATATTCCTCAGGGAAATTCCTTTCAACAGAGCAGCCTACCTAAAATAAACTTAATACCATGGAGTAGTGATCATGAATATTTGGATTTCTTAGGTCTGATGCATAGTTAAATTAATTGCTTTGACATTTGATTTGTTGCAAATACATTTCTGTTTCAGGGGAAATGTAATGAGGTTTATTTTTAAAACAGAGTCAAAATTATCTTTTCTTCCTCCCTCCTGCTATACCGTAGCCTGCTTTTTAACCAATGCCTTTCCTGAAATATAAGCTTCTACCTTCATTTTTGGATCACAATTATTCAGATTGGACCTTTTCCTAAAATCTGAAAGTAGCAACTTTCTAAGATACTGAAAAGAGAACTGAGATGTTCATGTTAGGTTTACTGAGGCAGCAACAAGCAATTCTAATTTTATATATGTATACATCTAATCCAAGAATCAATTGAACAGAGGTAAGTAAACCACACTCTTTGCATCAAAACCTAAAAAACACCCGAAAGAATTGAAGCTCTGAATTCGCATTATGAGTTAGTCTTTAATCACGTGCTGGGGTTTTTCCTTTGCCTGTTTCATTCAGATTGGATAGCTGATCTTCACTATTCTTTTTCCTTTGTTGGCACCTTATTTGCATCATGCTATTGAAATAATTATCTGAAAATAAAATTGCTAATTTTCTAAAGGCTTTTTCTGTGAGCCTCGTGACTGAATTATTTGAGCAATGCAAACACAGCATTAGTATCACCATGTTCTGTGAAATGCAATAAAGGCTAAGTGTCCTACTGGTGTGGGATACAAGAGAAATTGTGTAAAGCCATTCCTTTCCAAAAAGCTGCCAGTTGGGAATGCCAGGGACTGTTCTTAATAGATAGTTGCCATTCTAAGGTGGCTAAAAGCTTAACTGGATGGAGGTGGCTGTGTTGTGCAGCTGGATTCATGCAGGGAGCAGCTCCTTGTTCCACTGAGAGTTGTTATGTTCAAATGGGCCACCCCAGACAGTGAAAGGGCAAGGGCCTCAGGGGTCTGTAGCAGAGAGGAAGCCCCAGATCTATGGAATCGGAAGCTGCCACAACTCATACACGCAAGGGGCAGGTATGAAATGCTACATGGTAGCTTTAGCTCTGGTACTTCCTAGGTTGGGGCTCCTTACAGTTCAACTTCATTTTTTCTGCACGTGTGGGTGGAGGAGGAGGAGTATCAGTGTGTGTTATTCCAGAGGTGGGATTTTCTTCTTGTTCTTCGGCCACTAGAGGGAAGACGTGCACTTTGGCAGAGAGAGGACTGCAGCTAGAATCACAGAATCATTATGGTTGGAAAAGACCTTCTTTGAGATCATCAAATCCAATTGTCCATCCCCACCCTGCCTGCTAAACCATGTCCCTAAGGGCCTCATCTACCCAATTCTTGAGCACTGCCAGGGACGGGGACTCCACCACCTCCCTGGGCAGCCTGTTCCAGTGCTTCACGACTCTTTCCGTGCAGAAATTCTTCCTAATATCTAACCTGAACCTCCCCTGGCACAATGTGAGGCCATCTGTCTTATCTGTAGTTATTCTGGAGAAGAGATCGACCCCTGCCTCACTACAAGCTCCTCTCAGGTAGTTGTAGAGAGCGCTAAGGTCTCCCCTGAGTCTCCTCCAGACTAATTAACCCAGCTCCCTCCTTCCTTGTAAGGAGGCTTTGTTGCCTCCTTTGGACACACTTCAAGTCCTTGTTGTCAGTGGAGGAACAGTCAGACTTGGGGGTTCTGGGGTCCTCTGCCTACTGGAAGGTTTATGTTCTCTGCAGCTCTTCCAGCCTGTGTCCCCCTGCACCTTCTGCACCCAAGACTGAGCTCTTCTGTCTAAAGTGTTGAAAAATAGCAGGTGTTTATTTTTACTTTTTTGTTGTGGTTATTGTTGGCAGAGATAGCAGTTAAACTTTAAGTGCTCAACCAGCTCTGTCAGTAATTGCGAGTTTTGCTGCAGCAGTAGGAAAAAAAGGGTACTCAGGCTGTACAGAAATGTGATGCTTTTAGCTTTTTAATTTGTATGGTATATCAGACTGATTTGTTTTAAGTTAAGGAATATGTTCAGGCATCACTGGCTATGTGCCCATGAAGGTTATGCAGGCTCTTTCTGTTGTTGTACGTTAACTTAAAAGAATTTTCCTCTTCTAGATTCAAGTGCTATGGACAGAGCTGAAGATCCCAATATATCCCCTTCTGGATATTATTATCAAGACCAGTGGAGGCCCAGAACACACAGGATCCATCATTTCAATGAGTCAGAGGATGTCACCAAGTGCTTACAAGGAAAAATAATCCACTTGTTTGGAGACTCTACAATAAGGCAGTGGTTTGAATATCTGACAGCATTTGTTCCAGGTTATTATTATTTTTTATTTGGTTTTGTCCTTGAAAGGCCTTTGCCCAGCTATATTCTCTCATCAGACACAGAGTTAGTCTTTTGAATGCTAATGGCAAAATAAAGGAAGAGGAAAGGCAAGCATGGTCATGGGGGCTGGCGGAAAGGCAGCCGTTTGTATTTTTGAGTGCTGGAAGGAGAGCTGCAGCGTTCCTGCAGATTGTTGCTCTAAAATGTTCCTCCGCAAAGGACCTTGCTGTTAGTGCCACGAGTCGGCAGCATGTGGCCACCAGGTGGCACAGGGCACCTGGGAAAGGAGCCCCAAGCCACAGTGGCTTTGGAGCAGGATAGTAGTGGACTTACTGTGGGCTAGTTTTGGGGCTCTTTTTTTCATTTCCCTTATTTTTAGCTTTTCCTTAAATAACAGAGCTTTAGTAGCCAATTAGACATTGCTCTGTCATTCCTTCTCCCCTCCAGCAAGCAATAGTTTTGTGTAAGTGCAGACTTTGAGAATCGTTAATCACAGAATAACAGAAAGGTTGAGGTTGGAAGGGACCTCTAGAGATCATCTAGTCCAACCCCCCTGCTCCAGCAGGGACACTCAGAGCACACGGCACAGAGTAGCATCTAGGCGGGTTTTGAAGATCTCCAGAGAAGGAGACTCCACAGCCTCTCTGGGCAGCCTGTTCCAGGGCTCTGTCACCCCAACACTAAAGAAGTTCTTCCTCACATGGAGATGAAAATTCCTGTGTTCTAATTTGTACCCATTACCCCTTGTCTTGTTGCTGACCGCCACTGAGAAGAGTTTGGCTCCATCCTCTTTACATTTTCCCCTCAGGTATTTGTACATGTTGATAAGATCTGCCTTACAGATTAAGTATTCTTTAAACTTAATGGAGTCCCAGAGTTGACCAAAAGGCTTCCCATTAACACTGGATTCAGAGGGCACTTATTCTTAGGGTTTTTATTCTGAAAGTTCCTTTTGTTTTCAGGAGAAAACAAAAACAGCCTGGGGAGCTAGAAAAAGGCATTGGCCTCCTGGTGAAGCTGAAGTGTGCAGCCTTGCAGACTTCAACACCCATCTGCTCCTCTCTGAAATACGTAGCTAGTGCATGTACGACACTCACCTTGCCCTTCATTCTAGGGTGCTGAGGGTTGTGTGAGGTTCCCTTGTCTGTATTTACCATTGCCCTGTGGCCAGAGCATGGTGTACAAGGTGGCTCAAGGGAGAAAACTAACGCATGTTCTTGGGTTTTCAGATCTAGTGGAATTTAACCTGGGGAGCCCGAGGAACGTGGGCCCGTTCATGGCCGTGGACCTGAAGCGCAACATCCTGCTGCGGTTCCGCTGCCACGGGCCACCCATCCGCTTCACAACAGTCTTCAGCAGCGAGCTGCGCTACATCGCCAACGAGCTCAACGGCATCGTGGGCGGCAGGAACACTGTGATAGCCATAACCATATGGTCCCACTTCAGCACGTTCCCTGTGGAAGTTTATATCCGGCGGCTGAGGAACATCCGCAGATCGATTATTCAGCTGCTGGATCGCAGCCCCAGGACCGTAATCGTCATCAGGACGGCCAATGTTCAGGAGCTCGGGCCGGAAGTGAGCCTCTTCAACAGTGACTGGTATTCCTACCAGCTTGACTCTGTCATGAGGAAAATGTTCTCAGGAATTGCTGTGCACTTTGTAGATGCCTGGGAGATGTCTCTGGCTCACCACTTGCCCCATAACTTGCACCCAAATGAAATCATTGTTAAAAATCAGATAGATGCGTTTCTATCTTACGTATGCCCGCTGCAGACTTAGCACAATTAGGTGTCTTGCTGTCATGTCCTACTCTAGCTGAGGTCAGGTTGCTTCTTGCAACCGAGCAGTGCTGGGTGGTGTGGAGGGACCCTGGTCACTGCCGTTGGGCGCAGTGTCTGGCTGCCCTTCATGCTGGGAGCTCTCAAGGACAGTGGAGTTGGCAGTTCAGGCCACATCTTCCTGCCAGGTTGGTTCCTTTCAACCTTATCATTTGTGTCTCAAATTATTAGACAGCTCCTTAGATTAAATGAACAAGATTTGGTAGGAGAGCATGCAGCTTATTGGTGTCATTGGCTGCCAGCGCTGCCTGCTTAATCCATGCAATGCTGATTCTTGCTGCCCAGAGGTGCGTGGATCCCAGGAAAGAGGGTTTTGGGGGGCAGTCCTCCTCTCCCATTCCAGGGCTGGAGGGACATGCCCTCCTGGCGTACGTCAGCCAGAGAAGCACAGTGTGCTGTGTCTGCTCCTGCATCGAAGCCCAACAAGAAAGCTGAAATGGGTGTCCTAAAGCTACTAATATCAATGAAGGAAGCACAGCTAATATACCTATAACACTTATGAAGCTATCAAGAGTGGCTGTTGGAATTTCATAGAACACACTAATTGGGCACCCTGGGTGCTCTCAGATAGCTGCTAAATAACACAAATTGTCAGCACTTTAGTTTGGGTTCCTGCATCACTGTGCCTCATCAGAGCTTTGATACGCTGTCTGCTTCTTGCTCTGTCTGTAATGGAGAAATGCGTATGCAGCTATTTCAGCAAAGACACCATCTCGGGAAGTTTCTGGAGGTTGAAATAAAAGCGGCAGATGTGCCTGCTCCGAGCTCGAGGTGCTTCCTAATGAAAATGTTTACTTTATCTGTCAGCTGAGTCTGCTCTGGCCCACTCCGGCAAAGCTGGGCTGCTGCTTCTGGTCCTGCTGACTTGAATGCCCTTGCTGGGGTTCCAGGAATGAGTGACAGGACCTAGCACCTGGGTCCTGCCACAGCTTTCTGCATCCCTTCCGCGGTGTTTGGCCCTTCTTTTATCACTTATTCATCACTGCTGCCAATATAAGGGGTTCAAAAACTCACTCAGAAATTGAACATGTCCAGTGTCATCCTCCATACGGATGCTTGGTAAATGTTTGATGTTTTCCTAGAGTTAAAGTTGGAGGCTTTGGAGCCTCCTGGAGTGGTGCTTTCTGCTGCTAATTTGATTGAAACTCTGTCTAGTTTTAACTCATTGCATTTTGGTTTAGCTATTTGATTGAAATCAGCCTGCCAAAAAACAAAGTAGAAGCATTTGGTGCTGTCTTATTTCTGAGCCTGCTCAAGCCAAAGGTCATCTTGATCAGTGGCTTTACTAAAAAATGTGTCAAGCCAGTGATGGAGTGCTTCTCAAGAAGCTCATCATGCCTAAAGAGGGTGCAAAAGGCGATTCCTGAGAGCAAACTAAGAAGATGAGAATTATTACTAAGATAAACTGGTAGGCTGCACGCAGTGTAGTCATTGAAATTTCATCATCTTAGAAAGGTTTCCTCTGCCAGATTTTGTGCTGTGTTCAGGAAGATGGTGCTCATATTGGTGGAACCTCAAGACACCTAATGCTGCCAGCTACAGGGTCTTATGCTGTTTGTTCATTTTAAAGGACAGCTGAGAACTGTTTTAAGATGTCAATGTTTTAGCCTCTGAAAGTGTGTAGCACCTGCTTATAACTCACTAAGTTTAAGAAGTTTAAAAATGACAAGAGGAGATGCACACATTCATCTTGTCTTTCCAGATCACCGTTAACAGCTGCCTAGCAAAGTGGCCATCCGTATAGTATATTTAGGTAATTTTTTCTTTCTTTAATGTGTTGATGGGAATTTATGCTCTGCTAAGAAGAGACCGCACCAATTTAGGGCTGAGGAGGTACCAGAAACCACCTCAATGCAAAATGACCTTTCATGTTTTCCAAGTGTGCTCTTTGTAATAGGCAGAGTGTAAAGCTTTCATCCTGAATAACAAATCTGTGCAAATACGTTAATAAAAAGGAGGCACCTCGAGCTTAGACTTTGAAGGAAACCACTTAATTTGTGGACTAGCCCTTTGGTTTTCCTCATAAAGCTGTATCAAGCGTGCATGTGCTGTGGGCTGAAAGCTGCAGTGCTCACTGCTGTTCCTCAACAGCGACTTCTTATAGCTATTAATAATCAAGAGTAAATAGATAGGAGGAAATCTCCAGATATTTTGATGACTGAGGGAGGTAAAAATAGGATTGCTCTTCACAACGATGTCTAATCACTTTGTGGTAGAATCTCTCTTTTAGATTAACTAGGTTAATTCTTTTTAATAACAGATTAGCTTTTAGGTCAAGAACTTGGAGGAAATTGCTAGTTAATTTGGAATGATTTTAATCATTTTAATTTCTTTTTGACCCACAAATAGGAAGGAGAAGGGAAGTATCTGAAGAGTTATTAATGTTAAAACAAGAGGAATACTGGAGATGCTCTGCTCTTACGGCATTCAGTGCAACTACAAACATGTTTTGGTTTCCGTTCATCTCCTCTTGTTACAGGTTGCCTGAGTTGTATATCTACTGTGCACAGAAATGGAATCACAAGCAATAATATATTTTAAAATCATTTGCTGTCTGTAAACTTTTAAGCTTCTAAATGGATTTTAATGAGGATGTAGGTTAAGCACTTCATTATTTTTTCAAGTTTATTATTATGAAACAGGACTGGAAGGGAACTTCTGGGTTCTCAGGTGTCTTCCTGCATATGTGAAAAATCTTCTCTGTCACAAGACTTTCGATGCCTTCTTTTCTATTTCTTTCTGTTTTCTTCAGTTGAAGAGAAGAAATTCTATGCGATGCTTGCATTCCCATCCTGAGTCTCTTGATCCTTAACCTTTCAGGAGCAAGATCCTCCTTGCCTTTTCTTATTTATTATTATTATTATTCAATACCCAGCTCACTTACAAAGTCTTTTTGCTGGGATTTAAGTATTTTTCTGATGTTCATCAGAAGATTTCAGAGCAATTTATAAATGACTGACATGAAGTGTAATCTCTTTTACTGATGACACTGCACAGTGCTCATGATCACTTTGAGAAATTTGTTATTGTGTTGGGCAGGTTTATCAGTGAAAATGTGTGTTTAGTTGTTGGGGGAAAAAGAGGCTAAAAATTGGAAGTTGCCATTTTTTTTTCATTTTTTCAAGTGTTTCTAATTCCATCCCTTCTGCACTATTGCACCTTTGCTTTATGAGATTCCATGTATTTTAATTGTTTACAGGGAAGTGTTTTAAAAATGGAAACTTGAACCAACTAGAAGGGTTTGTGTGCGGCCTTATGTGTTACAGGGGACACTTTCATTTGCATGTGTGACAAAACTGAAGATTCAAACTTGTCTCCTGGAAAGGATGAGGGTATTGGGGCTTTGTTTAGTTGCAGAAGGGTTTCTTAAAATGTCTTTTCACTCATCATAGTTCAAGTAATAGCAAAAAAGTTAAATCATAAATGCATATTTAATTTATAAAGCCCTTATTTGCTAAATCCAAGTCACTTCATGCTTTGTTTTGCACTCTTATGAATATTTAAACTGTTTGGAAGACTCTGACATCTGTTAGTAGCAGTGAAATACTCTATAATTTATTTTCCAAGTTTTTGATTTTTTTCTAGTATATATAGATTTGTTATGGAAGTGCTTACAATACAAAGAGGGCCCTCATGTATTTTCTGATGTGTGATCAAAAAAGAAGAAAAATTGCCAAAATGCTCGAAGAATAAAAAGTTCCTAATGAAGTGGGCAAGTTTGCGCGCTCTCATTAGAACGGTTTCCTCTGATGCAGTCTGTGTATCTTGTTTATCTAACCCCACACACTTCCCTTCCTATTTTTACGGTTGCTTAGAAGTGTGTCGTATTTCCCTTCGTCTTACCTAATGATTGCATCTTGTGCCGTCTGTGGCGCGGAAGCTTCACAGAGTGTCTCGGCGATTACGATCGCTCTGTTGAGATTTCTTTCCTTTTCCTTTCCCTGACGCTGCGTGTTTGGAGGGCAGCGCTCCGGCGTGAGACCTGCGCTGCGTTTCCTGCCGCCCTCCTCCCCTGTCGGGCCTGACTCGTCAGAAACCCTCGCACCTCCCTCAGCCGCCTGTGATCCCACGGAGTTAGGGACCCAGCCGCCCCCTGGAAACCCTTGGGCCGCTCTGTTGGCCGCTACAGGACCCATGTATTTAAACTCAAAGGCAACATTTTTTTTTAATCTTCTTCCATCTGGATCTTTGAGTCTTTCCTGAAATATTAGTTTGAGTGCTCATCGCACTGATCTGAACTGGGATGTTAATGTAGCTGCTACCTGAGCCATGACTGCCTAAAATCCTGTTCAGTTACTCTGTCCTCTTCCCCTGCTGGTGTCCCTAACCTCTTGTGGGGATGTTCTGTATCTTGGGGGGTGAAATAAGTAGATCGGTCTTGTGGTTTTCTTGCCCTCGATTGTACAGGAGTGTCTCTGCCTGGGGCAGAACAGAGGGGAAATTCTTGGACACGCTAAAGAATTAGCAGGATTTGAGTTATTTGGCATGGGCCCCAGGTGCAGAGCAAGCACATAACCAGACCCAGGGGAAGGTAGAGGCTGGCTCCTCTCACCTCGCACCCAGTAAACCTCCAGGAAAAGCTAGCGAACGTGGCCGGGAGAAGAGGGGTTTGAGGCACTGGAAGACAGTGACTCTGCAAGGAATAACACAGCCACGAGGTGCAACAGGCTCCCCAATGCCTCTGGAGTGTTCTAGAAATGAAGGGCACGAGCAGCACTGGGTGAGCGTCTCTTGCTGGGAGCTCTTTGTAGAATGAACTTTAGTTGGTAAAACGGATGGTTTACCTGCAGTAGGCTCGGGACTGTCCTGCTGGGGGTGGTTACTTTGCTGGACGTGTTCTACCTGCTTGTTTTTCATTCTGAACTCACAAGGGCTCCCGAGGGCTAGAGTTTAGCGGGATAGAAAGACCCACCTCAAGTCATTTCCCTTTGGAATGGGAAAAAT